TCAGCACTCAAACTCGTCCCATCACCTTAAAATCTAGTTGATTTGTGTGCTGTTATATAAGGTGACCATTTTTTTCTAAACTAAAACCAGGACAATATAAATTTTTTTAAACCTAAGTAAATAAAAAACTTAGATATAAAAAAATGTTAGGTTTATTTAAACAAGAAATATGAGAAATTAAAATATCATTTTACAATATAAAAAAAAAATAAAACAAAAAACACAATAAACAACACATCTCATTTAGTTTATTTCATATATTTTTCTGAAGAATGAATTGCTTTTAACAAATATTCGTTTTCGTGAATATTTTCATAAAATTTCATACAGCTCACATTAAAATTATTTTTGACTATCAACAAGGATTTCAAAGTTTTTACATTCAACTGGGTTTTCTCGCTAGTCCAGATATTTATTGTTTAATAAAAAAAACTTGTTCGGTAGGTGCATTAGTTCATGGCATACAGAGACAATACTTTACCAATTTGCTAATATTATTGTGGGAAGCATCATTTTCATTAAAAGCTTTAAAAATTTCAATCCACCTGTCTGATACCGAAACACAATTCATCCAATTAAATCTCTCAATTCCTTCAAAATGGTCTCCCATTCGTCCAGATACTGAAAGCACGTCCTGTAAAATTCCAGCACTTTTTCTTTGAAAATATTTGATTTAACTAAGCCTTCTTCTTCGTCCAGCTTTTTTAAATGTTGTCAAACTTGCAGGGGAAGAAACACATTTGCTATCCTGTCAGCCATTTTAGTTTTAAGGTCCTTATAAATCCAGGCAGCACACCAAATCCTTTGAATATCTACTGGACATCCCAATATCCACTGAATGTCCAGTCCATGGTAGATATCTATTTTTTATCCATGAGATGTAATTTATAGACATGCAAATGTCCATAAATAATAGTAATTATATAGCAAATTATTAAAAAATTATGCCATTGTGGCTAATAGTACCGTTCAGATATCTAAAATTAATTTTTTAAGGTATATTCAATATCTGATGAACATCCACTATATATATATCAAAGTCTAGGCGCGAACGCAAACCATGGTGGATATCCACTAGATATAATTTTTGATTTTGCTTACTAAGTGTAGATGAATATCTTTTCATGCTCAGCCCGCCGTAATTGAGTTCGATCGAAATTGGTATCCCAATCAGACTCCATTAGAGACTGGAGTCGAGAATTTCCATTTATTGCTGAAGAGTCCTAATAAGGATGACTTTCTCCTTAGTAGGCAAAATCAAAGGCAGAGTGTTGAAAATATTTTTTATCTCTGCTATTTTCTTTCGACGTTATTCAATAATCATTGGTTATTTATGAACCTCTAGTCTCTACTAAATTTACCCATAAAATATTTTGCTGAATATACGAATATCTTCTATCTCCTGGGATATAGACGGACATTTGGATATCCATATTAAATTCACTGGATATATTGGATATCCACAAAATATATTCTGTGGATATCTCTGGGATTTCTTGTATTGTCTGGAAGATACCCATTAGATATTTTGCTGGATATCCATTAGGATATCTTCTATATTCTGGATATAGACGGACATTTGGATATCCATATTAGATCCACGAGATAATTCTGATATCCTGTGGATATATTGGATATCCACAGAAGATATTCTGTGGATATCTCTGGGATTTGGTGTGTTGTTTTGGAAATGATGCTTGTTTCCAACATAGAAATATCCTGTCATTCTATCTTTAAAAAATAAAACCCTGTTTGAAACATTGACACATTATGGAGAAAGAAAAGCCAAGATTTGGTTTGAGGATTCTCAAAATAATTTTTAATAATTGTCGGAATTTTTTCATTAGATGCAAAATACGATTTTAATGCAGGAAATATTTCTAAAACGCGCTCTGTAGCTGGTCGTAACGCTAACCATGCGTAGCACTGTAATCCAAAAGTTTTTTATATCCTATGTCTACAAAATTACAAAATTCTTTTAATTCACTGACTCGCACAGTATGTAAAAATAGGAGTAAATTTTGGTTTATTTTAAAACCAATTTTTTGTGTACTGGTTTTGTTTAATGACTAACCAGGACTTATTCCCTGAAAACAGTACTGTACTGGTAAAATCAGTATGAATGGTCACTTTATGTTATATTAAGATTTTTATGTATAATTCTTTATTGATTCAACTGTCAACACCATGCATATATCCACAGTATTATCACAATTGACTCCCAAAATATTACTATTACTTTTTATTCTTTAGATAACACTACAATATATATACAGGGTGTTTCAGAATAAAGTACCGTAAACGGGGGTAGAACTTAACTAATTATTAAAAAAAGCTAAATATAATTTTCCTGTAAACGTCTATTCTACAGAGTAATAAAATGAATTTCATAAATACATAATTTTCTAAACATCTTCCGTTACGATAATGACTAACTTAAAAATATGTACTTGTTAAACCACCATTATTAGTTATTTCGATAAAATTACGATAAGCCATTGCTGTAGAATTAGGGTCTAAAAAACAATTTTGATCCATACTTTTTGAACACCCTATATTTAATAAAAGTTAAGATTAATAATTATTATTCCTCACGCAATTTGTCCCAAAAAGATTCCAAAAATTATAGTCAGTGACCCTCCATTTACGTCATTGTTTTTCTCTGACATGTATAATACTTTTAACATTTACAAAATTTATTTTTTAGAACCCTAATTTACCAACTGCTATTTGCTTTGGGAAAGTGGCCTATTGATAAAAAAAATTAGGCATAGCAATACAAAAATGAACCAATTGTAAAATTCAGGAATATTTAAATATAAATAGACTTAAACTAAATGTAATAAAAACAATTAAAAGCTATGATTTTGAGAACATCGTATAAATACAATAATATTGATATAAGATCATTACCTTTATCAATTAATAATAAACAGATTGAGTTTGTAACAGAGTTTATGTACTTATGTTTTATAGTGGACAATAATCTATCTTTCGTTGCACATCACAAATGACTATATTGTTAGGAAAATAGCAAAAAACTATACTTTTTTAGTAGAATTTCTATCCACCTTAGTACTGCTGCCAAAGTCACTATACAATGCAATAATACAGCCACATTTCGATTTCTGCGGCACATTGCTCTATAGCTTAGATCAAAATAAAATTATGGCTCTACAAAAGTTACAAAATCGAGGCATGAGGGTTATTTTGAGACATAATCGGTACTGTAGTATTTTCACTATGCTTAATGCTTTGCAATGGATTTCCAATCCGAATGTATTACCAGGGTGACCTCATTCCTATGATACGAGACAAAACGATACATTTTATTTACCAAAAAAGTATTAAAGAAAAATAAATGTAAGAGAAACTTTATTAGTAACAATAATTACAATTCTAAACTATATAATATAGATCAACAAAGCCGTTGTCCACACATAAGTCGCTATGCCACTAGAATTTGACCGAAAATCCTTAAAACAGAAAAGAAGTAACAACTGCATCGTTCTAGTAACGGAACACGTTCGTCTCAGTATACGTTCAAAATACAACAGACAGTTACGTCGTAATTTCTCTGAACGATATTAGAATATTTAATCAAATGGAACAACGACGCATCTTCTCCGTACCGGAAGAACCCGTGCGTACTCCAATTAGGTCAGTTGTATCATTGGAATATTGTTTAAGTTTGAAATATTTAACTGAAAAATGTAAAATTTTGCACTTGCGTCATTGTTCTTCTGAAAGTACGTTTTATGAAGTTATTTTTATCCCTCATTCCACTCTTTTCCCAATAATCGAATGAGCTCGTCTGGTTTAAAGATTGGCCCAAACCGGATGCGAGTAGCATTGGAGTTAATAGCATCTGTAGTACCTACATTATTTATTGATTTGTATCCAAACAGGCCGCCGGCCTTATTACATGGATAAAAGTATCATAATACATAAATAATAATAACAAACAGTAGGTAATTATAACTAATAATTCAACTTTTTCAGTATTAAAATTAATACATCAATACAAGTGTTAATATTATTTGCCAATTGGAGCATGGTCACATCCAAGAATGAAACTCGATTTCATCTTTAACAAACACGGTTTTTAGACGAAAGTATTTGCCTTCTTTAGCGCAACTTTCTGTCTATACTAAGGAATAGAAATAATGTTAAATTACTCTTGGTACCTATACATACCAACATGACAGGAAATGAAGCTAATCTGCTTGCCAAAAGAAGTTCTAGAAACCCCTTTACAGGGCCAGAGCTATTTGTTGAACTCAATAACTTTTGTTAATACGTAGATTAGAGAAAAATCATTGGAAGATATTCTAAGACTGGATTACGTCAGTCCAATCTTCTTATTAAAGAATATTGTGTGAATAAAACAGCTATAGTTGAATCCGTAATTGAATGTGTGAGAAGAATGCGGACAAAATTTCCGTATTCAATATCTTTGAGAGAATTTATTTCATCCTAGAAACTGCCAATCTATTTAATTTTTTGTCCAGATTTCACTGTAGAAACAATCTCAATTATTTTATGACGAAACAAACACCCCAAAAACATTGGCCTTAGCGCCACTGTGCTAAATGTTATGAAGATGCGATCCTCATTCCATCAAATTAGAGGCGCAACTACTTGAGTGAAACTCATCCGACACCACAGGATATTAGGTGTAAGGCTTTGCAAGAAGTACCTGCTTATTTTGGCTCTGGACTAGCGGCAGAAAACATTACTACAATCTGTAGTTTTTATTTTACTTGCCAAACCTTGTATAGTGTTTTCACTGTTCTCTGTCTAAGCTCAAGAGCTTTCAGAGAAATCTACACTTATTTTATTGTGCTCCCATAGGTTATAATTTTATAACGGATAGCTCTAGAGAAAAACAACAAAGTACACGACCTTAACGTGTTATATCTTAAGCCATTTTTAAGTTATTGATAAAATTATATTTGCTAAAAACTATTCAATTTTAAGGTTTTATTAACAGCAACCCTTCTTCAGATGAATTAAGCAGTGACAATGTAATTTGTCTTAAAAAATTAAACTATATATTTTATGAACATGTTTATTTACAATACAATCTTTATTATAAGGTGTACCCCAATTCTTCGATCCATTTTAGCCCTTCCCTAGTGTCTCCTAAAGGTTTATACTCTAGTCCAATCCAGTCATCATATCCTTCTCTCTTCAATGTCTCGAGAACATATTTAAAATTTATTTCTCCATTTGTATTTGGCTCATTTCTGTCAGGGGCTTGAGCTATTTGAACATGTCCAATATACTGCTTGAGTTCGTTTATTGTATGAGCTATGTTTCCCTTAATCAACTGGAGATGGAATATGTCCAACATCAATTTTAAATTTGGACTGTTAATTTTTTTCAATACTGCTATAGCTGTAAATATATTTATTTAATAATCTCACGGATGCTTTAAAAATAGTTTTTACCTTTCTCATATGAGTTCATATAGTAATTTGGAACTGAGTATTTGTTGATTGGTTCTATAAGTCCCAAAATATTCTCTTTTTCAAGTAAGTTTGCAGCGTACCTTAAGTTATTTTCATATGTACTATCATTACAATCTGTAGCATTTCCTTCTAATTTTCCTGCCATAATGTGTATTCTGAAACATTTTTTTTTTAATAAGTTATTATTTAAAACTGACATACAGTATGTTAACTTTCCCACACGGGCTCCAGGAGAATGGTATAGAATAAGCGATGCTATTAAATAGACAGACACACTATCCAACTAGTGGCAAAGGTGTATATGTCCAATCATGGCAGGCAGATAGACGATTCATGAGTTACTCTCTTTATGCCTCTCACATACAAATATAATTAAGCGTCTCATCTTTATTTTGCTGGATACGTTGGTTAACGTACTGTATATCTATTATGATACAACAAATGTTATTATACAAGGATGTGCTGAAAAGTTGCTAGCTTTGGTGCTAATAATCGAGTGAAGCCCGTATAAACCAGTGCTTCTTAAACTTTTTTGGTGACTGAACCTTTTTGAAAAGTGAAATATTTGACGGAGCCCTAAACACAGTTCGAAAAAAAAAAGTTCTCCTTGCTCTAGCCTCTTGTCAGGTCCCTCCCGTTTCTTTGCGGAGCCCCTACAACAAAATTTTCAAAATCATATATGCCTTCCTCTATCTGACTTCTAAAAAAGAGGTCCTTCAACACAAAATACCAAAATCATATACTTCTCCGAAAAAAAATTTTAAAAATCAAAAAAATTAATAGGTCCTCAAGCCAAGTCCCGTTGAAGCGATAGGTGCTGCTTTTTGTTTGTTATTTTCTTCGCGGAGCCCCCACAAAGGCTCTGCCCTGCGGACCACACTTTGAGTAACGCTGGTATAAACAATACTGTCAAATGTTTTATTACTATTCAGTAGCGCACATGCACTGTAACAGAATCGTACTTGCGAATTTTCTTTCCACGCATTAACAAAGCTGACATAGTGATATTTCTGCAGGATAATGCACCTGTCCATACCACTCACCACACTCTGACGAAAATCGACCAAATTTGCCTCGAATTGTTGAAACATCCGCCCTATTCTCCAGATCTAGCCTCTTCGGACTATTATCTTTTTCCACAGCTAAAAAACACCAGATAAAGGGTAACAAGTTTGGCTCCAATGAGGAAGTCATCGCCTATGGGGAAATTTTTGAAGGGCAACCTGCAACCTTTCTTTCCACTTCTATTTGGAGAGGTTAAACATCTGGAGAAGCGTTTGTTTAATGTGTTAGCTTGAGGGGAAGTACATCGAATAAAATGTGTTTCATATTAGAACTTTCTAGCACAAACTCATGTCTTCATTTTTAATTGTTTGTCAAAACAGAAGAAAAAATATATATTTACCTGGGTCTTTTGACCCCTTATCAAAAAAATACTGTGGGATATTATATTTTAAAATGCCAAAAAGCATACTCAACTTTGTATTGTGGATATGAATAAATTAAAATGTTAGCCATTCTTCGTATGGTCATTTTTTTTTTTAAATAAATGTTATGTGTTTCTATAATATTCACTAGTGAAACAATAGTAAGCACACCGAGAGTTACATGTCTGGCAATTAAAAGTATACACTTGCAATGACTGCTTCAGATGCGCTAGGATTGTCGATGAAACATTGTCCACCAAGGAGATGTAGGAACAAAATGAAAATCATGGGGTGCCAAATCATAACTAAGGGGACGGTGAGTTAATGTGTCTAGCAAATGGCGAATAAGTAACACTATAACAATTGAGAATTACAAAAAAATCGATATCTAATAATATCGTCCTAATTAAACTGCTTATGAATAACAGCAGTCAACTAACATGATATAATTTGTATTTACATTTTTATTACAATTTATATTTATAACCTTTGTCCATGGGACAATGTAATAATAGATCTAGGTATGTATCTTTATTCGCCTTCGACAAATTCAACAAAGTTGTTGATATTTTTATATGTATTATTATTGGTGTGAGTGGTGATAAACTTACTTTTTGGCACCTAAACCTTTTGCAAAGTCAATGGTTTTCACTATGCTATCTCTAAACTCCTTTTCTTTGCCTGGGAGAGCTGCAAAACCCAATTCACCTTTTGATACATCCCCTGAAAATTAAATATATTGGGATACACGAAAGTGTCTAAAGTAGGCACTGGAAAAAATGTATGCATGTCTGAGCATACATTTTTCTTTTTAATTGTCAATTTGGATTTAATTCAATGCCGTGCGTAGTTATCATAGACATTACTCGAATAACTGTCTTTGTCGGTCATGGCCTGCTTTAGAAATTTTTTGTTGATCACTATTATAAATATAAATTCAGAATTCGAAGATTAATTGAGCAATCAATTTAAGAAAATGCTTTGTTTTAATTCACTAAGAATCATTCAGCCTCAGTTTGTAAATAAAGCACTGTATTATAATGTATTAATAACAAGAAAAGGGAAATATAATTACTAATCTGCAGCAGAACCTATGCTGAAAACTTTGAAGAAGCGGCTACACAACTAAACTATATGAGATGCCCATATTCTTGATGACAAACTTAGGTGTACTGATGGTAAATATTAGATAAGCACTGAAAAAATATATATCCTATTTAGCCTAAGCATTTCAGAATCAAATGGTTGTAAAAGTTTGTTATTACACTTATAAAACTAAGATTTTGTATTTGATGCCCTGTAAATATAATTAACTCTACCAATTTTTGATCATTTGTCTACCCGAATTTTGAATCATCCTGTATACATTTGGCTAAGTATAGCTACCTTGCCAATGTTCTGTTTAACATTTACCTGTATAAATATTAATAAGTATTTGCTGAATTCCACTGGCATTTTTGGCTGCAACCACTTCATCCTTTTCTAATCCATATGGGAAGCCTGTTTCAACTGCCTTAAAGCCCGCCTCTTTGGCAAGTTGATACCGGTTAAGTAAACCTTTTTCGGGAAATAGAAAAGCCAAATTTGCACAAAATTTCATATTAATGCACCTAAATTCAAAGAAAACTAATTATCACAAAATGATTAAAATAAACAAATACAGATAAGAAAAATAAGAATGAAAAAGCATGATAAGTACCTATAGATGTCCTGTTCTAGCAATACGCAATTTACACTTGGCACTAATATGCTTAACAATTCTAAAAATAGTATATTAATTTTTAAGTTATAAATTAACTTCGAATATTGTATCATATCTTACTTTTTTGTAATCATTGTTGTTTGTACTATATTGTACTTGTATACGTCACAGAATACGACTGATAAATTAATAAAAACATAAACACAACCCGTCAGCTGATCTGATGATGGCCACATGATGTTGGATGAATGGATGTTGGTCTGACAGGATCATGGAATGCCATGGATAGCCGAAACATGGACAGGAATTAGCATGTTTATAATAGAGAACCTGTTATTTATAACAGGTTGGTTATTTTAATTCTTAATATACGCAAATTAGGTGTTTTTTAGGTATTTTGATCATTGCGATAAATCGATTTAATATACAAATACCGGTTCGGGTTTTAACTCACTGATGATCTGTAATACTTACCCACCGACCCGTTCACAGCCCATTGTCTGTATAAAGGCAATAGTATGAGTATGAATATTACTCTACTACCCTTAATATTTTAAATTTCCCGGGGCCATTGGGAAAGATTTTTCGGATTGGTTGCTACATACATCACCATTGACTGCTGGGTATTTTAATTCTCTTGTTTGGCTACACTGCAATTTACAATAAAGATTTCTATTGCTGCGTTTGAGAATCCACATCTGGGGGTCGATTCTCGACTTGTAGGAACCTTTTCCTATAGGAATTTGTGACACTTTCCTATATGTAGGGAAATGTCATAAATTGTCGATGTACATAAAAATGTCAAAAATTCCTATAGGAAAATATTCCTACGAGTCGAGAATCGACCCCCTGGGGTGCTATTTTCAAAGTCGAGAGAATTCATTTCTCTCGAGAGAAATGTCATACGTCAACGTAAAACAGTATTTTTAGGGTCCTAAGGGCCAGTGTAAACTCACTGATTGTTTCTCACGGTTTATTTAGAGATAATTAATATCCTCCTAAGAATTTTAATCCTCGAGGCCTTTAAAAACAGCGTTTCCACATTGACGTATGACATTTCTGATGAGAATCTTGAGAGAAATGAGTACTCACACGGTTTGAAAATAGGTCCCCTATGCATCCGAGATGTAAAAAATCTTTGATCACGTGATTCAGTATACGTAGAACAGAAGTAAAAGTTGGAAATGCTTTTGCCAGTTCTCCCACTTTATACACATAAATTGACAGGTTGTCAGCGGATCTCACCGAAGTGGACACGATACATTGGCGTACAAAATTATTTTATAGATGTTAATAACAATTTCGAGTAAATAGTTTAATAAATTGTGAATAGCTGTTGAAATTTTGTAAAATTATAATTTGAATATTATAATACATGTTTAATAATTATTTATAATCCATAAATACATGCGATTGTCCGGTTCCGCCGATAACAATTTAAAATTACTTATTCTATGAAACGACACTGGCAGGTAAACATTACTGTGAAATTCTCGGAGCCGCCCGACATGGTTTGACGTTTACCCCCTCTCTACCTACCAAAAGACTTTTCAACTTTTACTTTCTCTATAAATGTAATGGGACAGATGTGTCCGATGTGGATAAAAAAACGCTCGAGATGTAAAAAATGCATCCGATGTGGATTCTCAAACGCAGCATTATAATCGATTCGTTTCGTATCGCTCACGCTCAGTAGGTAGACAATTTTTAATACACAAAAATAACGAAAAATATTTTGCAAACACTTTTTAAGTATTTACATAGCTCATACAGCGATTACTAGTTACGTTTTACGATTTACAGAAATTTTGGATTTCTAATATTGGTATTTCTGTTTGTTATGTCATGTTGTGCCACTGTCAAGCATACATGATTTCAAGGCACTGCGTTCAGATATTTGGTACGTGATGTCAAAGTACTTTGAAATTATTTTTTCTAATGAAGATTAAACTTCAACAAGTTTTTTATATCTAATTGCCATATTGCCAACAATTGTTTTAAAATACTACTTAAACTTACAAACTGATCGATAATACAAGTTGATTTCTGATTTTTGAACAACCTGAATTCTGACACAAATCTGTCCGATTTCTGAACACACTATTTAGTTGTGAAAGCTACGCTGCTGCTAGTACAAGAATTATTTTTTTTGCAATTTTATTTCTAATTCTAATTACATAGCTAGTTCTTCCCTTTTGCAAAGTGCATATTGAAACTAAAATTCAAAGTCAATTATTCTTTAGTTTTTGTACGTATTTTTGAAAAGATCTCGACTGAATGACTGCTCTTCCTAAAGGTAAAAATCTTTGTTTCTAGAACTACGTATAACGCTTTATTAGTTAAAATTTGAGTTATGTTATAGTATCCTGATTGGTAGATTCTAAATAAATAATCTTTAATACATTATAGTTAAAGTTATAAATGTTTTTAAATTACATTGTACCTATTGGATTTTTGGAATTATCGATTCCTTTACATATTTGGAGAATGTAGTTTATTTTTAACAGTTTCAGTCAGTAAAGTATTAAAATTTAGACGATTTTCAGCTCAGCTCACAATTTTTATTATAATATAGTCTTTGTAGCAATATGTATAAAACATTTGGAACAGATGTGAACAGATATTTATTAATGTTTAAAGCCTCAAATTTATGCCTGTTATATCTGAAGAAAAGATCAAATCTGTATACAGTAAGTAAAGAATAAATATTTTACATCAGCTAGCTTCCTTAAATTCTGTTCAAATGAAGAAAACAGTCTTCTAGGTGGGTTCGCTTAGACAGGGGTGGGAGCGGTATAGGAGCAAATTTTTTATGGTGTTTCTGTTTATCTTGTCCCACAATAAATCTGAAAAGGCCACAGTGGACATGGACAAATAATGTCCAACTATTTATCTATAACTAATAGGAATAAACCGTTGTCTGTATAGAGGTATAGTCAGTCGGACCTAAAAGTTAGGTTTAGATACTGTTGGATCTGTCTTATAGATGGACATTGTCATTTTTAGACCTATTGTTAAAAGCAAAGTGAAATGAATCTCGTTAAGTCAGTTTCATAGAATCACCAGCTTAAAGTTTCTCAAGTCTAGATGTCACATATTTTCAAGGAAACTATTTTTTATTTATTTGAAACTCGGTAAGGATTTTTATATGCTGATGTAATATAGATCGCATTAAAATCATTTTTTTTTAACTATGATTGTTTCTGTTTTGAAAAATACATTGGACTTTTATTTAATTTTTTTAAAAATGTACCATACCTGTTAAGATTTCTTATTTAAAAACTTATTTATTTAAGAAATACCTAATATGAAACAAACAGTGGTTAATAAAAGAAGGTAATTATATTTCTACCTAATTCCTTTTTATTAATAATATATTATTACTACGTACCTATTTAAATTTAAAACTCAATTCTTAATTGGATAAGAAATGTGAACACACCAGGGCGCTAGGTGCTGTGAAAGATATTCAACACATCAATTACATGTCCCCAGCAGTGTGGCCCTAGTTAAGGCTTTAGTGGGTGACTGAATTTGTACAGTTCGGAGCCAACTTGAACTGTAGAATGAATGGAAGAATTCATGAGCTGAACTCATGGGAATGAGAAGGGCATTCAGATTGTGGCACAATAAGCCATCTGAGCTTCAGTGCCACCATGCAAACCCCAAGAAGAGGGAAAGCAAGCTGGACCCCAAGCCTGATTGGGGGGAATCTGCCAGAACCCCCCAGGAGGAGCAGAGGGATGCCTGAAAGGGTGAGACAAAAAAGGAAACATATATTAAGATTAGTATGATTTTAGAAAACTTTTGTTTTTTAAATTTCAAATATCCATGATAGGTACCTCCAAAGTGGTTGGAAGTAGATTAATAAAGAAATTAACTTACGTTCCACTAAATTAGGACACTCACAAACTGGAGAGATACCCCAGGGCTAACTCATTTGAAGGCGTTTATAACCAACCCTTCTATGAACGCCTCTGCTCAGATTTGAGAATGGAGTAAGAAAGATCTACGCATTTTCACAGGATTGATGACAGCACACTGCTGTCTGGGCAACCACATGAGAAGGATAGGTCTGCAACAAATATCGGACTGTCGATTCTGCAGCGTGGAGGACGAGTCTGCAGAGCAAATTCTATGTACCTGCTCCACTCTGGAAAGAACCAGGTTCCAGATGTTCGGATTTACCAAACTGGAGCCTACCGACTTTAAACAAGTCTCACCCAATTCAACCATGGCCTTCATCAACAGGTGTGGCTTGTATGGTGAACTATAAGTTAGTCATGAACCGCAATAGACCCATCTGGGTCACAGTGGAAGGCGATGAGATCACCCCCCTTATTTTCAACCTAACCCACTAAATTCCTGTCAACCACTAAATTTGGTGGATGATACAAAAATACAAAGACAAGTGAAATGTAAATATTTTGTTGCTTTTATTTACAGTCACTGCAAAACTTTTGTGATTGCCTAGGAACTTTAGTTCATTCAATTGTAATATTATTGGTTGTATTAATAGCCTTCCTCAACTTAACCTTAGCAACTTTTATAAAAATGAAATGTTCGAACAATGGATGTTATGGTGGAAAAAAGTAGTCTCTATTTCCAAGAACCCCTATTTTTTGCTCCACGAAGAACTCCCAAAAAATGTACCACATATTTTTGAATATAAAGTTAACAAACACTATAGCATCACAATTTCTAGAATGAAAATCAATCACGGTTGCTTTCCAGCTCATCTGAATAAAATAGGTATATTAGAAACCCCATACTGTGAAGCGGACGGGGAAACTGCAGATCTAAATCATATATTTTTTCAATGTGGCAAATATAATAACAAACTATTATTTAATTTAAATAAATTTAATATCAATCCACCTCTCAATATTACTACTTTACTCGCAACTTTCAATAAAAATGTTTATGATATAATATTAGAATTTGTCAATGAAAATAATATCATGATCTAGATTATTACTTGTGTCATATCCACATGATAATCTAATTAAAAAAAAAAAAAAAAATCGTTTTGAGTGTGTGGCAAATGGCTTACGGTCGATGCCAAAAAAAAAAAACTTATGCTCAGACACAAGTACAATTTTCTATTCGTCTGTGCGGCCAGACAAATAAACAATAAATATTATAGATTTATGTTAGAAGGTCCTTAAAAAAGTTCCCTTTTCTCAAATACACTACATAAATCATTTTGCTTGATGTGCACTAAACTTAAATTGAGAGTATCTGGTCACTTCATGCATTTTTTGATATCAAATGTAGCACACATGTGAATTTTTTAATAATATAACAAATTTATTTAATTAACTCTATAAGGTCCGTGAAGTTAGCACTGCCAAATCCGAATTTTTATAAAACGAAGTTGGCATTCGTTTGTCCATCCTTCAAAATAAGTTATGACAAAATTAAAAATTTGAGCCACATTTAACATCAGTACCGCCATATACTTGTTTTTATTAATTTTTAAGTGGCATTCGATTGTCCATGATTTGACCAACAAAAAGTTTAGTTTGTCCATCCCTTAAAACTGGAATATGTAAAAAAAATTAAAAAATAACTCGCCTAGTCCTTAAAGCAACCTTAATACATTTCATTCGAATTAAATGCCGCAGTCGTTTGTCTACTCATTATTTTCGTTTGTCCAAGCCTTATTTTTGTTTGTCCTCCTAAAAGAAATTAGTTATTAACAAAATGAAGCACCCAAAATATAATTAATTATTAACCTAAGTACTTGTAATTGCAATTTATTAAAACTAACTACTGGATTCGTTTGTCCACACATTATTTTTATTTGTTCAACCAACTGAAATTAGTTATTAATAAATAAAGAACTTATAATATGAACAATTATTATTGCAAGTTCTTCTGATAGCAATTTGTTAAAACTAATTACAGCAGTCGTTTGTTCACACATTATTTTCATTTGTCCATCCAACAGAAATTAGTTATTTACAAATAAAAAACTCAAAACATGAACAATTAATATAAGTACTTCTAATAATATTTTATTAAAACGAACTACTGCATTCGTTTGTCCACACATTATTTTCGTTTGTCCATCCTTCAAAAAACGTTATGACAAAAATAAGCCAAATCTAATATCAGCGCCGCTATAAAAACGTTTTAATTTAGATTTGGGTTTTCTATGATTTGCCTACGTTTGTTCAACCAAAAGTTTTTTTTGTCCACCCCTCAAAACCTAGATATTTCAAAAATAAGAAATAATAAATCGCCTCGTCTTTAGGAACAACCTTAATACATTTCATTTGAAATAAATGCGGCAATCGTTTGTACACACATTATTTTATTTTGTGTGGACAAACGATTGCGTAGTTTTAGGAGAACTTATAATAATTGTTCATATGTTGAGTTCTGTATTTGTTAATGACTAATTTCTGTTGGGTAAACAAACGAACATAATGTGTGGACAAACGAGTGCAGTAGTAGTTTTTTAACTATTTGCTATTAGAAGTACTTATATTGAAAATTGTTTATATTTTGAGTTGTTTATTTGTTTGTATATAACTAATTTCCATTGGGTGGACGAACGAAAATAAGGCGTGGACAAACGAAAATAATGTGTAACCAAATTATTGCAGTAGTTTTAATAATTTACCATTAGGAGAACTTACATTAATAATTGTTATTTTTTGAGTTCTTTATTTGTTAATAACTAATTTCTTTTGGGAGGACCATCGAAAGTAAGGCTTGGACAAACGAAAATAATAAGTGGACAAACGATTGCTGTCTTTATTTTGAATGAAATTTATTAAGGTGAATGATTATTATTGTTTAATCTCTGTTTTTAAAAGTGGACAAGCGTGAATATGGATAATCGAATACCACTTTGAAATGAATAACAAGTTTTCATGGTGGTGTTGATGTTAAATTTGGCTAAAATTTTTAATTTTGTGATAACTTTTTTTAAAGGGTGGACAAACGAAAGTTTTTGTTGGATAAAAGTGAACAAATCATGGACAAACGAATGTCAACTTCGTTTTATATAAATTCGCATTTGGCAGTGCTAACTTCACTGACCTAAATACTAGATAGTTGTTAAAATGTTGGATGTGTTTTTGTGGAAAGTTAAAACATTTTAAATGTGCATGTAGGAACGTAACTTTAGCTATATTTGACAAGTAGATAATTTATTCTACAATCAGGATTCTGATAACATTTTTATAAATCTATCAAGGGGGGAGTTGTGAATTTCCGTCATTTTTTCTAGCGTTTGGAACTCAGCAAAAGTCAATGACTTGGCTGGCCGAATGACCCTTAGGTTGGTCGGAATCGATGTTTAATTTCTCAATAGCATCAAATTTGTTTCAAAAGTCAACCAGAAGAACTTTGAACCGTGTTTTAAACTTTGCACACTTAATTTGGAGCACTTTGAGTACTAATCAACTTACAATGCACGAGTCAAGAAAGAGATACCACTCCCATTCTAGATCCAAGTCTCAGTCTCCTTCTAGAGACCGAAGTTATGATCGTAAACGCAATAAAATTTATTCTAATGGGAGAGATCGAGACAGAGATGGCAAACGTAGAAGAATTGAATCCTATGATAGCCCCTCTTACAAGAAATCAGTGAGTAGTCAAAGAGCGCACCGATCTCGGCAGTATGAAAGAGGATCCAGTGCAGAGAAAAGATACAAACGAAGTCGTAGGAGGTCACGTACATCAAAGAAACACCGCCACTACCACGACAAGAAGAAGCACAGGAGGTCGTCGTCAACGGAGCACAAGGGTTCCAAAACACCATCAGTGGAGGACGATGATGAGGGACATCTTATTTACGAGTCTGGGGATATTCTTCGTGACAGGTACAAAATTTTAGGTACACTTGGTGAGGGTACTTTTGGGAAAGTGGTAAAAGTCAAGGATTTAGAAATGGATCACTACATGGCATTGAAGATAATCAAGAATGTTGAAAAATATAGGGAAGCTGCTAAATTAGAAATCAACGTTTTAGAAAAGTTAGCTGATAAAGATCCTGATTGTGAACATCTTTGTGTTAAAATGTTAGATTGGTTTGACTACCATGGTCATATGTGTATTGCTTTTGAAATACTAGGCCAAAGTGTGTTTGATTTTCTTAAAGACAATAACTACCTACCTTATCCACTAGAACAAGTCAGGCATATTGGATACCAATTATGTTATGCAGTTATGTTCTTACATGACATCAAACTAACCCACACCGACTTGAAGCCAGAAAATATTCTCTTTGTTGAATCTGACCATGATATTGTATTTAATAGCAAGAAAAGAAAAGATGTAAAGAGAGTGAAAAGAACTGAAGTGCGTTTAATTGATTTTGGCAGCGCTACTTTTGATCATGAACATCATAGTACAATAGTCTCAACTCGCCACTATAGAGCTCCTGAAGTTATATTAGAATTAGGCTGGTCTCAACCATGTGATGTCTGGTCCATTGGCTGTATTCTCTTTGAATTATACTTAGGCATAACTCTTTTCCAAACACATGATAATAGAGAACATTTGGCTATGATGCAGAGAATTCTCGGTGAAATACCTGCCAGAATGGCTAGGAAAACAAAAACAAAATATTTTTATAGAGGAAAATTAGAATGGGACGAAAAAAGTTCTGCTGGAAGATATGTAAGGGATAATACTAAACCTCTCTTAAGGTATAAACAATTTGACGATACAGATCATAATGAATTATTTGATTTAATATTTAAAATGTTAGAATATGAACCCTCTGAAAGAATAGTACTAAAGGAAGCTTTAGAGCATCCATTTTTTAATAAGATCCCATCCCACCAACGACTCTTTGAACACCGAACACCCGTACGGAGAGATAGAAGTTTATCTACGTGAATGTATTTTAAATATATTAAGAATATTTTATCAAACATTTAAGACAACTAGAAAATTACATTATTTTTCTTTAATGAATTCTCAGTCGACAAGATAAGGATTATAATTCAATTTTATATTTATTGTTCTACTTGTCTTAAATTTATTTATTAAAATATTTTAAGAGGCTTAAGGTAGTTTAGAGAACATCTTTTATATTTCAGGATATGTTCAAGAGCATATTTATCTTTGAATGATAGAAATCCTTAAGGATGTTCATTACAAAACTAATTGTAATTTTGTCTAATGCTAACGAATTTGTTTATTTTATTAGGTGTCCTTTTGTGACCATTGAAGAACTCTTCTGTGCTGTATATAGTGGCAGGCATTTGCTACTTGAGGTAATACATATAAGTTATATATAGATTTTTGCACTGACTTGTTAAAGTATTTTGTTACTTTATCAAAATACATATAATATATATATTTATTTGTAATTTTAAATGCTTCTGTAGAACGAAAGTGGAATTTTTTTCATTAGATTTATTAATTACAACAGTAGGTACATGGGTTATATTAATGATATTCATTTTCAAAAACGTAATTCTGTATATCAGAAGATGCAGATCAAAGTTTAAATAAAAAACTTGACCGTAATTAATAAAATTGATTATAGGTTTTTTTAAATCTAAACTTGCTCCAAGTGACACATTGTAAATACTATTTATTTTCTGGATATTGTACACCTTGGCACAGAATATTTGACTGTCAACATTTAAACATTTTATTCATGTTTTAAGAATTGTATAAATTATAATAATTTTGATTTTTTTAAACAGAAGTTGACTATAACTAACATTTATTTTATCACTGACAAATTGCTATTTTTACCTGACACAGTTAATCATGCAAGCAAATTCAATTTCTACCTCTTAAAAACAATACCTATTTTGATTTTATTTTAATTATCACAGCAACCACTTTTCTGGAAAAAAAAATGAAAACTGAAAAATAATATTTAATAAAATATATTTTCCTAAGCTGGACTTGAGGATTATGACAGAAAATGTTAAAATAGTATATTTATTCATCAAGAATGCAATGATAATTATTATTGACGATGGCAAAGTTTGAAATGCAATGTTTTTATTTTTTGAAATTATTTAAATCTATAATATAATTTTTCTTCCGACTATTCTTTTTGCATTGGGTTATAAATAAAGTTTATAGTACAAAAGGTTAAAGATAATTGTTTTTGACGATTTTTTGTTAGTAACGTTTAGATTTGCTAAAAATAATTATTTTTTATATGGATGCTGATGGTTTTTGTGACTTTTAAGTTAGAGTAATACCTACAATCATTCTTTAATAATTATCATTTTTATAAAACTTTTTTTTTTTAAATAGTTACATACTATGAGATGAGTGTTGGAAATAGTTCCACTTTGTTAGTTTATCGTTAATTCAATTTTATCATCAATACACTGGATAAGGCAAATGAGGATTTTAAGTAAAAAAAGGCGCGAATTATTTGGAGTCTGAGAAAAACTATATGAGTTAATTATTTTCCTTGCTACTTAATTTACTTTGGTCCATTCTGTATTTACAGAAATATGTTTTAATTATGCATTATTTTTAACAACTGTTTATTTTGAAGAAGAATATTTCAGAGTAATATTTCTTATATAATTCAACCAACGCCTTTATCAAAGATTTCTATCTGTCTGATGCAGTTTTGGAAGCAATTTTGGTTTTCAATTTTTTTAAGCTATTTTTGAAATAAACGGATATAAAATTAATTTCTTATAAAGCTAAATTACTTCCAAAGCTGCATTTTTTTCAATTATTTATTTTAATATAGACATTATAGTCACAGCAGTTTTTAAAATGAATATTATATTATATTATTTTCTATGTAAAATTTCATCACTGTACAATTGTAGTGTCATAATAGGTGACGGATATAATAAATATCAATATAAAAGATATATATTTAAAAAGTTTCAGGGAAACATTCTCCTTGAAAAGGTAATAATAAGAATCTAGAACTTCCTTTATGTCCATTTTTTTTATATAGTTAATATATTTTACATTTAGCAAGTCATTTTTCCCTGACTCTTTAAGTGTTGTGTACATGTATATATTAGGTATTGTGTTCTCTTTAGAATTTCATTTTAAATAAAAAATCGCTGAATAATTAGATTTCAGCATATTTATTTGTATGGAATAAAATAATTAAAAATGATTTATCCCATTAAAAAAAATATTGCTCTTCAAAAATATGAATTGTTTATTTTTTACTAGTTCTTGCGCGTAAAGTCATTACACATTATGTAAATTATTCAATTTTATCAATTTTAATTGATATTTATTTAATCGTATTATATCTATGTACCGTTTGACATAATTATTAATATTTCCATTTATGTCAGAAATACCTAGTACAACTTAGTAAATACTAGTTGGGATTTTGTTATTTATAAAATATAAAAAAATGAAGTAAGAACGTCCAAGCTTTTAACTACAAAGTGCCAATATATTTTGTATTGCTAAAAAAAATTATTTTACCATAGACAATAGCTGAAAATTAATCCTTTTATAAAACAAATGTACCGCACATTTTTATTATTTTATAAAGTATAGTAAAGTATTATTCAATAAATATCCTGCGACCGATAGGCGTATATATATGTAAGATATTTTCAAAACAATTTTGAAACGATTGTTAACCCAAAAAATGTCTATATTTTTGTAAATTGCAAGTTCTTTTTCAAATATCATTTTAGTAAATCACTGACTCAAAATACTTTAAATCACTTAAAAAAAAAATAAATACAAAACTTCAAATTATAAATTTGAATTAAAAAAAACTACTAACTTAAATTTAGATTTGGCACAGCGTTAAATTCAGTTATTACAAAATTCAAAATATTACAAAATCCACCATTCTAAATTTTAAATTATTCATACAAAGAGTAATCTAAAATTGTGTCCGGAAGTTATTTAATAATAATAATAATTTTATTAACGTTTATTTAACAAAGTTATACACAAATTAATGCATTATGAAGCTTTAAAAAAAAAATTGATAATAAAAATCTAAACAAAGGTTTACAAAGGCGCAGTGATATAAAAAGACAATTTTTTTAATTTCGACTTTGAACTCTAATTTCGAAAAAACTATTTGATATTTATTTTGGCTTAAAACTCGTAATGTAGATGACTTGATATTTCGATATTAGCAAAATTCTCAATAAAGTTTACTAAAATGCGCAATAGGCCAAGAACTATAGTAGATTTACCTGTGAAAAATTAGAATAGAGCTAAAAATTGGGATGTCCTAATGATCTCCTTTCATCTGCTCCCGGGCTAACTACATTTTTTTGAGAACGCTGCGCAAACTGCTAATCTAATATGAGAAAAAACTCTTGTCTAGTCTTCATCTTAATAGAGGATATTTATGACAAAATTAAAAATACAACTTATGGGTGACATGAACTAGACTGAATTTATGACTGATTGTCGGGAGGCATTTTTTTAAATCGCTTTTCAAGGGAAATTATAAGTACAACAAAATACTCTACTCTATTTCTTGGCGTATAGCCACAATCAGTTTTGTTTTTGTCACAGGCGTGTACAGGGTTGTTTGTAAACTGGCATGCTAATTTTACACTGGCGACCATGTTTTTTTTTTGCGATAAGGCTTTGTGTATAAGTAACTTCTTATGGATTGATGTTCAAGAAGTTAAAAAAAGTACTATATACATATAATTATGGGGGAAGGATGGCTATAATCATTATTATAGGGAGACTTATTATTTGACATGGCGTTCCTGGTAACCGAATTTGACTTGGAAAACCCAGGATAGGACAGCTCTCGGTAATTGAAATCTGGATATCGTATTAACAGAAATTAATACTTTTTAAATATTTTCATATGAATAGATACATTTTAAAGTCGAAATTTTAAAAATATATCTATCAGCGCCGTCATATTTAATCTTAGATGTTAAATATATGTAAATAAAAAGAACTATTTTTCACACGGCTTAAAAATTTTTTAAATTTTTAATAATATACATCCTTTGTATACTATTATTGATTCTAAAAAGTAAGATATTTATTTTAAATTTAAAAAATATTGTTTTTTTTTTTATTGGTACTGGTTCCATTCTGTATCAGCACAGATATGTGTACTGAAAAACATATTTGCTTTTTTATTTTATAATACAAATTGTTAAATTAACGGGACACAAGTTTAGATTAGAATATTTATCATTATTTCTGGCGACGGTTTTTTGAGTAACAATTGTTGCTTGAGTTTTATCAAGTTAGTTAAGTTTAGAATGTAAAGAAAAATTAATAACTACAATTTACAGGGGTCAATAACGAACTCCAGGACAAGAATTTCTTCCCGAAGATAAATTAAAGTAAGTATATTAAATATAAACTGGTGTCAGTCGGTTTTGAAATAAAACAAAATATTTGAAAGCATTAATTACCATAAGTAAAGCAAAAAATATTAAAACATGAAAGCATTTGTTTGTTTTAGATGGAAACTACAAGACTTTAAACCGTCCAATATTAAAAATGTATTTTTTTAATAAGTATCGAAATTAGAAGCTACTACCTACTCTTAAGTGTGATGAATATTTCTTTATTGGTAAGAAAATCTTAATTGATTTTAAACTATTTCACTAATAAATTTTTATTTGTCCAAATTTTTACTTCTCAACTAGGTAACTATACAAAATAAGTTTTTAACCAAATCAAACTAGTAAAATGTTTTTTCTACGACCACCATTCAAAACGCGCGCCTCAATTGGTAAAGTTAGCATTTCTCACAATACCATAAAAACTGACATATGTTTGCGGCAAAGTGACATAAGCATTTAATATTTTGACTTATACCGATTGCGTTCAATTATTCTTGTCACTGTAGATACACAGATGATAGTTCAACAGGTAATTTATTTGTATCCTGCTCCAAATCACTGAATATTAATATGATACTGATGCACCTTTGGACACCTAGTTTTTGAAAAGAGTTATCTACCCAGGTAACAATAATTATACATTCTTAGTACCTATATACTTTTTAAGAATATGCATTTGATAAGAATATATTTTATTTGCATTTAGAAAATTCTCAGAATATGTATATGTTGCAGGACGTTGTTTACGTGTGGTATGTAAATGCTGTGAATAATCTCACGTATTTAATAATTATTCAGGGTTCGAAAATATGATATTTATATAAATATATCACATGATATATATCATTTTTAAAATTTTATTATTTAATTAAAAACAATATTGTTTCTTGCACAAACTATATTTTAAATTTTAACAAAAACATATATTCTAAATAACAAAACCGTTTATTCTAACTCAAATTAAAAAGAAGAAACAAAAATAATAAAATAAACGGATTTTAACATTATTTTATTAACATTAATATTTTAACACAAACACAATTAAAAACCTAAAAATTTTATTATAACATTTATATAACTAATTAAAAAGAAAAATCAAAACAAACAGATTTTAACATTATTTTGTTAACATTGATATTGGTATATCCTCATTAGGGTGAGCCAAAATGACTAACCTATCGAATTTATGGTCTCAAAAGGGTTTATATGTTGAAAAAAAATTCTCCCATTGAGAAATTTTTTTTAACTCAATTTTAAAAGATGTCGGTGGCCATTTGAAATTTCCCATTTAAATAACACGCAAAATAATTTTTGTCCTTTTAAAAATGCTATAACTTTTGAACCGTTTGAGATAGAAACTTTATCCAGGCATATTCTTGTAGCGCATGAAATTCTCTAAAAAAATACTCTGTAATTGATTTTTTACCTCCAAAATTCATATACTTACGGGCTATAAAAGTTGCTGAAAAACAACATATTTAGTAAACATGTCCGTTTTTCAACACATCTACTTAGGGCCGGTATTTTCTGCCTCTGATTAAACACACGATTATAAAAGGACGTGGTTAATTTAACCGAATAATATAGCCATGATTAAGCATTATTGACTACGATTATAGTATCTATAATTCGGGGTTTAGTAAACATGTCTGTTTTCATCAACTTTCATAGCCCGTAAGTATATGAATTTTCGAGGCAAAAAAATCAACTCCGGATTATTGTTTTAGATAATTTGCCTGGATAAAGTTTCTATCTCAAACGGTTCAAAAATTATAGCATTTTTAATGGACAACAATTTTTTTGCGTGTTATTTAAATGGGAAATTTCAAATGGCCACCGACACCTTTTAAAATTGAGCTAAAAATTTTTCCCAATGGGAGAATTTTTTTTCAATATATAGACCGTTTTGAGACCATAAATTCGATAGGTTAGTCATTTTGGCTCACCCTAATCCTCATCTGATGAATTATTAATATCAATAATTTTATTCCTGTTAGTGACAATAATGCCAGAATCTTCAAATATGGCAGGTTCCCATGCCCAGTCAAAGTTGGTTTTATTTTTGTCTATATTTTGATTCATACACTTAAACAGCAAAAACAAATCGTGGCGAAGCTGTAAATTCCAAAGTTGGCGCGGCGATGCTTGCGTGACAAATAAATCGCTACAGTTTTTATACTTTTCTACCGGGGCGTATTGAGACATTTTCGAATGTTTAGTATGGTGGAAAACATTTTTAATTTAATAAATAAAATTATCGAATATATCGGATATATATTAAGGTATAAATATCATGATATATATCCTTCGAACCCTTATTATTATCTTATTTCATTTGTTAGTGTGTTCTAAGTATGTGCTTAGTAATTTAATTTAGCATATACTAGATACCCTAACACAGGATGTTTCATTAATATTGAACATTTAAGAATAAAGAGTACTACCTATATAATGGGGGCGACGACGCGATGCACTGCTTAAGCATAATAAAAATTGAGAATAAGTATGTCATTCTTCTATTTTTTCTTCACTTTCACATGACGTCGAAAAAACAAAAAAATCAACACCATCGTACAACCAATAAACATTGTTTATGGTATAAACTTTAGTCAGAATAAGGTTGTGAATGTTTTTTGGTCTGAACACTAATGCATTTACTAGCGAATTATCAGAGGCTAAATGCGACATGTGGGAAAAATTCATATAAGTATATAAACGTGTTTTTATATTTCGTGTTAATTTTTACCTGTAAGCATTAGAACGTTCTCAGAGGTACATACTGGGTATATGACCTTTAGTATCTTCTAAGAATGTCCTATTAAATCACGTGCTTAGTATACGCTTTTTAGAATATACTTTTAAGGTACGTGCTCAGTAAGTATGAACTTTCTAAAAAGGATATAGATAACAAACGGAACATTCTTAGTATATTCATAGAACGTTGATGTTATGTGGGTACTCTGATTAGTTTTGTATTCTATGAATTGACAGTGGAGCGTCAAAACATTTTAAAATTAAATTTTACCAATAAGTTAAATTAAAAATTATGTATCTATAAATTCATTTGTTAAGTTCGTTATACACAATATAATATGCGTCTATGTAATGTTACGTTGTTTTAAAATATCTAAACGTGTGGTCGTAGAAAAAATATAGTGTGCAACAAGTGCGGAAAGTGATACTTTCCCACTCGCCTAAGGGCTCGTGGCTCAGACTTCTGCGCTCGTGGGGAAAGTATCGCTTTGCGCACTTGTTGCAGAACTGCTATTATCTTTGATTAGTGGCATTAAATAAGAATGTTGTTTTTGAATATAACTATTATAAAATCTGGTATTTCTAAAATAATTGTTATACGCCTATTGGTTACTTGGTTTTCCAATTTTTCCTTCCAATAACTTTACTCTTTTAGGTGCAGAAAATCTAGTGTATTTTTCTATATTCCATAGGAAATAGTCCAAATACTAAAAATCAACTCCAACTGGATTTATTTTATTTTTAAAATGCATTTTTTTCTTCGTCAAGTCGGACCATGAAAAATACTTTTTTATAAAAGCGTCATCTACTATAGAATAGTATTTACGAACATGCATAGGTAGTATTTAAATCACAAAAGACTTAAGTTCCATATGTTAGCTGATATTTGCTTAATTTAGTTTATATAGTACAAGATAGAATTATTCATATTATTATTATTTAAAATAAAAATTAAAACCCATTGGTAATTCGTATTGGAGTACATCGTCCCCTAAAAAGCAAGTTATATTTAATGTGTTTTTAAAAGTTAAGTGCAGGTATTATAAAATTATTGTGTATAATTTTATGACGATTTCATTTACAGCAATATAACCTATTCAGGTAAAAGGGTCTGTTTTATAATATATAGGGTGCTTCTAAATAAACATCGTGCACATACGGAAGGGGGTATTTATTTGGCTTATTTCATGACTAAAAGTTACCGATCTATTGGGTGTTGAAATTTCAAGATTTTTCTTGTTTTTTTCTTTAGAGCTCCTGCAGTTTTATTTATTTAGCTCAAATTTGGAATCTAGATTGGGTATGTCAGATGGTTGTTGAATCTACAGGGTGATATTTTTTCAGGAGTCATGTTCCCTTTTCCCCTCCTGAACTTTTTTTCTGTGCGCCATTGGTAGATTCTAAAATATAAAATGAATTTTCTGTTTCGTTTAGAAACACTTCGTTTCTGCGACCGTTATCGAGAAAAAAAATTAAAAACGATTTTCTGTAGAAATTATTTATTTTACAATACAAAACACCTATAATTATTAAACTACATTATAACAAATGTTGAAAGTGACCCACTCCTACCCTTATTGCATTTTAAATTATTTGAGCTAAATATCTCAAAACTTGCATGAGCTCTAAAGAAAAAACAACAAAAATCTTGAAATTTCAAGATTTTTTTTAGATCGGTAACGAAGCGTTTGCGGACCTGTTTATATGAACTTTTAGTCATGAAATAAGCCAAATAATTTACCCCCTTCCGTATGTGCACGATGTTTAGGACAAAGGGAAATTCAAAGTCGAATTGACCGAATTTTAAAATCTAATACTGATAATTAAGAACTATTATTAGCGTTTTTTTTTTTTAAATAGGTATGATTTCTTGCTTTTGAGGGGACGATATGTAGAACTCATTTCTCTAGTAAAAATAACTAATTTAGTACTTTTTTGAAATCGCTTCTTTCAAGAATTTGGTAGATTTTGGCCAATTTAAAAAAATTTAAGCTCAGTAAAATTGTTTTGAAATAAACAATTTATTTTACATATATGTACTATGTACTAATTTTAAAAAATATATTTTTTTTAAATTTATAATCGCTATATGGCTAATTTATATTAAATCTGCTCTTTATTTTTCTTCATAGGCATAATTCGTGGATCGAAGACCTGTGGAATACATATTTGAAATATATTTTATATTAATAAATATTTTTATATAGCCTTGAAGTTTTATTTTCCTATTCTCATTGATTAATAATTGTTGAATGAAAAAATACCTAGATACACACTTTAAGTATCATGTCAATAAAGTTTTAAAAAGAAATTTGTCTACTTTGAACTAATAATTTTCTTGTATTTTAAGATTATTTGGAATGCGGTAAGTACCTATTTTGTAGCTCACTTTGCAGCAACTACATGGTTACCCAAAAATCGTATCTAATTTTTTAATTATCATATAATTGATGATATTGAGCTATGAAATAGCTTTTTTTAGTCGTTTTGAAAATTAGATTGTTTTCTTTAAAATTGCCATTTTCGAGTATACCTAGGTTGTTGCGGCAAATGAGCGGTATCATTTTTATTCATAAATATCGCACATCCGGAGAGTCATTTGAAAGTTTTACCCTCAAATATTTTCTCATTTTATTGTTATATTTATTACATTGCTGTACCAGATAAGCAGAATACGCAAAGTCACTTTCTAATACTTTTGCATTAACGTTGCACCGGATGTGTGATATGTGTATAAATTATTAATTTTTTTTGACTTGGTAGCATGATTTAACTATATTACATTTTTTTTCTACACCCACATGGACATTAGCTTATCTACGCACAGACTACAAAATGAAAAAGTATGTCATTGCGTTCAACTGAACGAATATATTTCATATCCATTCTAGGTAGTGCAAAAAAATTAAATCCACCAATCACAGTTCATATTTTAGGACTCTACTATTATTTTTAAATAAGTGACAATCCTGTCAAACTAATTGTCAGTATATTTTTTAATTATTAAGATTAAATATGTAATAAAATGAGTTATTTTTGTGTAGAAACGATAAATAATCGTAAATAATAGCATTTCGATTTTTATTTGAACCCTATTTTGAAACAATCAAATTTTATACAAACTGTATGAAACTTTTAATTACGAGTATCAAAATCGTAAAAGTGGCCATAGAGGCATGGACAGAGTACTTGACTTACACGCAAAAAACCGGGGATCGATTCTCGGCTGGGCAGTAAAATTCATAAATTATTTTATCTTAATAACCTAAAATATTTTTTTAATTAGTAGATTTCTGTTAGTGGGTCGTAGAAAAAATACACTGTACAACTCGAGTGGATTGTCCATATCGCACTCAGACTCTTGAGCACTCCGCCTACGGCCATTATTTCCACTCTTGTTGCACAAACTACTATTCTATACCAATAACATGCATAAATGAACGGATATAATTTCATATCCATTCTAGAATCGTTTAAAATACCCAGCTATTTTATCATTTTCAAATTAGTGACAATTCTATCAAACTAATTGTCAGCATATTTTTTAGTTATTTATAGAGGAAAATTTACATTACAAATTAAAAAGACCTGCGTGGCGTCGGTGGTTTACGAGGTAGAAAATTACAACTGAAGGATGGGGCCTAAATACTACGAGACTAAACTAAATACGCCTTTATTTCATAATTATTAACGAGAGACGAAGGTATTTAAAAATAATTATGACAATTTTGTCTGGTATGGTAAATGTGGTTCGGTCAATGGACCTTTCCCGTTATTGATGATCTCTTATTCATGCGCAAATTCTACTTCCGCTTAAAATTATCAAAATTTATTTTGTTTCCTATCCTGAAATTTAATTATACATATCCGCAAATGTCTTTTTGAGTTTGATAGTAATAGAAGGGGAGCCAGTGACACTTTTAGGTGTTATGTGTGAAAGGTAAAATTGTATTACAAATTTATATCGACAAATTTATCGAAGACGTTTTAAAAAATGCTGTCATAGAAGCACAAACATTTCGGAAATATTTCAAAAATGTTACATTGAGACATTTGTAATGTTTAAATATTACGAAACATTTCTGAAATGTGACTGAAACGTAAAAATGTCCTGTAAATATATTTCACAGTTATTTTCTGAAATGAAAATTTTAAATCTTTTAGAAATATTAAATAGTAATATATCGGAAATGTATTCTAGTTTTTTTTTTTTTCTAAAATATTGGACTAAAATATATACATGTTTATTTAAGATATACAAAACTTAAACATTGTTTCTTAAACAATCAAATAATTTTTATACATTTCATAAAATATTAAAACAAACGCTTCATTTCCACCAATTCCTTTAAATGCACTAATCTGAAACAAATAGTTTTTTTTAATAAATTCTCCAAGTAAAGAAACAATCTGATCAATTAGCAATTGTATTCTAACCCAACTTATCTAGGGATGAAAAACTTCATAAACTAAAAGGTATTTTTTGCGGCATAAACCAACATAAACGTTTCATGATTATGTTATTTAGACCAATCGGACATAATCTATCACAAACGTTTATGCCGAGAAAAATATATCTTCTACTCACTATAGTGTACCTTAGACTCTTTATTTTGTTACACTACCGTTAACGTGTAACACTTAACCGCACTATACTCTGTATTGCTCTAACATTATTGAACTACTAAGGCTTGGTTCTCTTGAGTCTTCTTATTAGATTGGCATTGTTGAGAATCTGGTTAATCTCAAGGTTTCCATGTTAAGCAGTCATTGTTGGTGACTACTGGCAAATTTTTATATATTGTATTTTCAACAGTCCCTATGAAGATCAGTATTGCGGCAGTACCAGGATGCATCGACGATGTTCCTTAATACTTTATTCTGGAAACGTTGAATAACTTTGATGTTATTTTTACTGGCACAGCCTCAAAGCTGGCAAATTGCTTCATTTCTACCAATTCCTTTAAATGCACTAATCTGAACTAAAATATAGGTAATTAAAAAGGATTTATACAAATACTCATGTCTAAACAAAACATGAAGATCCACCTAAGCAAGCATTATTTATGTAGTTCTCACCTTAATTTCTAAAGACATTCTGCTTCCCAAATAACAAGTTCACAAGGCATGAATATCAAAAACCAACAACTCAAATTTATAATTATTTAGAATATAGGCTTGTTTCTAGCTTGTGTCTGGACAGGGACATGAAATAACTACATGTTCCATCTTCTTCTTAGAAATCAGAAATTCTTCATTAATTGTTGGCCTTTTACAACATAACCCGTTTAGTAACCTTTTGTGTAACATGTATACCATGTTTTAGAAATATTTTCAGTGAAATATTTAACTAAAATATTTCAAAAAATTGTGCTTGAAATGTTATAGGTTTGAAATATTTCTGAAACACTTCTGAAATAATGTGTGCTGTATGGGTAGGTACCTTCTGGCTTGCTGACAGGGCATTTCACCGCTAGATCGATTGCAACAAAGTATTTTGATATTCTACAGGGCAAGAATTAACGATACATTTATAATTTAGCCTTCTGCAAATGTGTACTAAAAGCTTCACTGGCTCCCTACTGTACAGAATCGATGACACTTGTTTAAAGTAACGATGGCATGAGGTTATCGTCTTAGCCAACCCAACAGTTGTAAGGCGAGGATAAGAAAGAGATAGCAGGAAGTGTTTGGAAAATTTAGATTCAAAAGTCCCTCGCTTTTTTCGCGCATGAGTAATGCGAAATTGTCGAATAATGGAAAAAATCAATAGTATTCTTTGTCAAAAATTTGTATCGCAGATTTGGAAAAAGAATAGCTAACGGCAATCTAGTATTTTAGATTCTCTACATTTCTGATCGCTTGAGTAAAGACGGTCTTTATTTAAAATAATTCTGGGTTCGCCATCAGGAGATAGCAATAAAACTTTTTTACTTTCCTGCCTGTATACAGATAAGGAATATATAGGAATCATGATTTTTTTCAACCTCGTGTTTCCAACGGATTTTTACGTTTTGGGGTCCCTGATTCCGTTCCGACACCAAATTTTAAACTTAAGCTTTAATTCATCCTGCGGTGAGCTGATTAGATTTTGGGGATAGTCGTTGAAGTATTATTTGTAGGGTTTCGTTTTTTTACTTCAAGGAATATCTTATTTACTATTGTAGAAGAAAATTCTTCCCCATAATTGATGTTCTACGCATAATTTTCCTAAAATGGGCCGTATTCGAGAAATTTGACAAAAAGGGCAAAATTCTAATGTTTAAGAAAATTGTTCAAATAAAAGTTGTTTGCGATATCATTCTCTATAATTTTTGTCCTATACATAACTTCTCTAAAATGGACCGTATTCGAGATATTTGAGCAAATTTTGAAGATAACTCAAAACAGATAAAGAGAAAAACATCAAATTTTAAATTTAGACTTTAATCCATCTTGCGGAGAACTGATTAAATTTTGGGGAACGTCGGAAAATCTTGGGAGGTACTTAGGGGGTCGTCTCTACCTTTTCCATTTTCCTTCAATAAAAAAAAAATAAAGAAACAAAACAAAAAAATAACACAAAATGTATATATAATAAATATAATATGTAAATAGGTAGAATTTGTAAATGTAAAAAAATAAGCAAAATCGGTAAAATAGGCGAATGAACTGAATATTCGTAGTCATACGTCAAAAAAAACTTAAGGGGTCGTTTTTCTATTTTATGGAATGTTATTTACGCTTGAAGAAAAACATATTTCAAATTAAAGTTGCTGGTAATGTTAATTTTTGTCATATACATAATTTTCCTAAAATGGTTCCTATTCGAGAAATTTGACAAAAATTAAAAAATCTAATTTTTAAGAAAATTGTTCAAATAAAAGTTGTCTGCCATATTATCATTCTCTATCATTTTTATTATATACATGATTTCTCTAAAATGGACCGTAATGAAAAAAATTGAGGAAGTGTAAAATTTTAATTTTTCAGTATTTTAGTTGACAATGAATATAGGCATACAAAAAATGTTTCGAGCAAGATGTGTGTGGAAATTAATAGGTATTTAGTTTATCCTCTAAACGTTTACAGGGATGATATAAAATAATCGGAAAAATCCTGTGTATAATAACTAGACAGGAAAGTCATGTGTCGGGCACATCATATTTTTAAAGCTGTATACCATAGGCGCACCATTTAATAAAAAGTACGTGCTATTGAATTAATAATTTGAAAAATAACTATGTATATGTTTGAATTCTTTTGTTTTTTCTATTTAGCACTATAGATGAGACAGAGGTGTAATGTAGATAATTTAATATTCTAAAGAAACAAGTCAAAAACATTAAAAATAAGCATTTTAGAAATTTTAATCCTTGCATAAGTACTATTTTTAAAATGTCATAAAGAAGGATAATTGTGTAGATTAGGACTTCAGAAAAACTTCAAAATTATAAGAAGAAATAAGTTTCGTAATGAATTAAAGTAAATACCTGAATTATTATTGGAACTATGAATAGATAATGTTATATCAGAGCAATATATAAATAACATCGAAAGTATAATAATGTTGATATTTAGTATTTTGTAGTGTTTTTGTCGTGATACATGAAGTAGTGGCTAGAGTAAGTGGAAATTAGTGAGTTTAATCCTGTGAAACACATAAACGGTAGTCTACTATCGCTAAATGAGAAAACTATTATAGAACATTTATATGAGAGAGGTTTCATCTGTAATAGCGGAAAGTGACGTCCAAAGACCATCAACAATGACAGGTGTGGGAACTTTTATTGTATACAGAATCCTTCGTTAGCAAAAGGCGGGAGTCCTGTCTCCACTCTCCAAAAAAACATCGCCGGTAAACAAAAAGGAACTTCCAGAAGAAATCAAAAGAACAATTAGACAAAAGCATAGATAACAGGAGTTGTAACTATAAACAAATATCGTTCTGTGTCGTGAATAAGACATATTCTAAGGTACACAGTATCCGCTGTTTTCATGCCTATTTAATTATTTTCGTTTTGTTTACAAAATTATTTACATATCCCCAGATAGCACAAAGTCGTCTTAAAGACGTCTAGCATAAGACATTCGAGACGTCTTTAAGACGTCTGGTATATCCTGAAAGACGTCTTAGAAGACGTCTGATGTTACAAAAAGCTACGTCTTTAAGACGTCTTATTAATGGCTTATATTGGTCTGTAGAGCTTAAAATAAGCCATAAATAAGACGTCTTTAAGACGACTTATTATTAATAGCTTGTAATGGTCTTGTGAAGCCTTAAATAAGACGGCTCATTAATAGCTTATAATGGTCTA